CGCGCTCGGGCCTTCGGGCCTGGCGCCTGTGCTGAGGTAACTTTCCGTTAGAAATGTGTGAGGTTGTTCAGCGTCGTGCCCGGCGAGAGGAAAAAGATGCGTTTGTCCCCGCATTGAGGTTACTTGTGAGGAAAAAACTTGTGATCGTGCCACAGAGTCCCCCTAGTTTGATATTTAAGGGTTAATCGTGTAATGTCTGTAGATAGGCTGAGGACATGTTGGTGAAAATTGTGTTTTTTCCTTTTTCTAGAGAGCTGTTGTGCGTATGGATGAGCGCAGGGAAGAGCAGATCGTGCAGCTGTTGAATACTGTCCAAACTAAAAATGAGAAGGAGCAGGAAGCCATGTCCTGGTGGTCTGGGGATGAAGAAGGGTAAGGAGAAACAATTACTCATGCTTTTGTTCACTTTGGGTTAAACAAACTCCCTACAAACTGGTAGGAAGATACATCAGGAAATATTTATGTTTAGTGAGTGAATTAGGTGAACAAATACACTCGGTTTTCTCTGCGTGGATTGTCACACTGAAACAGTTATAACTGTTGTTGTAGAACTCTCTCCCAGATTATTGTTGAGTTTGGGCTGTTAAATTTTTACTTAAAATTATAAAATCCTGTAATCGGTCTCCAGGCCTACTAGAGCAGATATATGGAATTTTTAAGCTCCTCTCGCCGCTGGAATTACTCCTCCAGAGGTGGCATTTGACTTCTTTTTTCAGTTAATGTGCAGTCCTGGAATGTTTTCTTGGCCTTTGTGAAATAGGGGCCGTTCTTAACACTTGAAGGATTTCAGGTAGCAGTGAAATGGGCAGTCAGCTGTGTTACTCTGCGTCCACTGAAACGAGGTGTTTGGGTCTCTCTTTGGTGAATGATCCAGTTGCAGGGCTGTGGTTCCGACAGCAGGTTAAGCAGAAGTTCTCTGGAGATGTTTTGTTGCTTTGTTAGCTTCATTTGATACAGAATAACGTGTTACATTTCTAGATGCTGATGTAAATTTTTTGATGGCTGGTGATTTTCAGACTTTAATTGTTTTAATGACGTACACTGTATTCTCATCGGCTTACGGTCAAATAACGTGTGGATGTCATGTCTCAAAAATGGATTTAAGGTTTGCCTTGAATGGTTCAGTGTGCTCTTTACAGTGGGCAGGTGCATCTTGGAGAATCTTTGTAGTTTCTGTTTTCTGCACTTATTTCAGACCTACTCCAGAACAGCCTGCGAAAGTGAAACCAGAGGCTGAGAAAGCTCCTTTAAGACAGAGACCAGCCTTGGAAAAAACATTTCTTGATCAGGATGTGGAATATCTCTTTGAAAAAAATGAGCAAGATACTGATTTAGATAAGCAACTTAAAGAAGATTTAAGAAAGAAGAAATCTGATCCTAGATATATTGAAATGCAGGTACTTTTCCATGTGTTAAGTAGAAAGCTTTTGACTGGATTTTATTTTTTTTTTTAATTAAACTAACCAGAAAACATAACTTCTTGCAATTCACTTAGTGGGAAGTTGTCACGGTGTTACTCTGGCCAGAAGTTATCTTCGGATTTTACAGAATGCATACCTATCAGTGATTAAAAAAAAAGACTTTCAGTGACAATTTCTGATGGCATAAAATCTAAAATTTTAAGCTTACACATTGTTTAGTTGGGTGGGATTTTCTGTTTGTTTTTTAATGGGTTGTATCCCTGCATTTATGTCTAAAACTGAAAGCACAAAAATGGGCTCTGAAGGAATTGCCTCTTTGTATTGTTCTGTCTAATAGCCGTATATAAAGTTGTCAGATAAAACAGTCTTGCCATGGACAGGTGGTTCTCCCTTTGATCCAAGGCCCTGCTCTTGCAGCTGTACATACATAACTCTTCATGTACTGGACTGTTGGTTTTAAATAGTTTTGCTAAATTTAGTGAAACTGAAAATCTGCATGGAATTAAACTTATTTCTAGTGGGCCTGTGTTTATGTAAGTATTAGCCTCACGGTTAGTCATGTTATTTGTCAGTTTAGCTTAGATCACAGATGAAGTCTGTTATATTACTTCAGTGTTGAAAAGGTGTTTAAAGATATGTACTGTTACTTTCTTTTTCCCCAGAGATTCCGAGAGAAACTCCCTTCGTATGGGATGAGACAGGTAAATGTGTATTTAGTCTGAAAGAATGTGTGTTACTGTTGCTGTGTTGTAAAACAGGAGAAAACAGCTGTGTCACATGTATATAAAATTGCGGCCATTTGCTGAACGTTTGCCCAGTTCAGAATTTAATATAATGAAGATCAAACCTTTTTCTTTTTTAATTGCAGACTTTATGGCTGTACTGCTGGCTGTTACTGCTGTTAATTTCTCAATCAGAATATAGAATCAGTGATGCTATGGATGGGTTGTTATTAATTGGTGTTAATTCTTCATTTGATGTTAACTATATGAAATAGATATTAGGAGTATTCGGTTGTGTTTTCTTTTGCAGGCTCAGTGAATGAGTGAGCTTCCGTTCTAAAGTTAATGTGCTTGTCATAACAAGGTCCCTTGTGTTAGTGTTTGTCTCTTAGAACGGTTGTACTCCCCTTTACAGCCCTTTGGACTGGGAGGCAGAGGCTGGGAGTATGAGAAATCTGTCACTGTTGGTATAAGAAACGTTAAACTGTTACACTGAACAGTTAGTAGAGTCTTGCCATCCAACAGAAAACGCTTGCTTTGTGGGAGGGGAGAAAGGTTAAAAATGTTATTTCAGGCTTTCGTTTTAGTTATTTTATGTTGTTTTTATATAGGATCTTACATATTTAAAGCTAGTATTCAGATTTTATATACTCTAAACCTTAGACATGTGAAGTGCAAATGTGCAGAAATCACTTCTGTGTGGTTTAAACTTTTTTTTTTAGTCTTGTGAGAAATAAACAAACATCTGTTTCTTTAGTTGCTATGACACTTTCTTCTAAGTTCACCTCACAGCAGCAGAGAATTGTCAAAATCCTAACATCTGTTTTGAAAAATAATACAATAAATGTTTTCTCTGTTTGGGAACAGGAACTTGTAAACCTTATAAACAATAACCGAGTGACAGTGATAAGTGGTGAAACTGGTTGTGGGAAGACAACCCAAGTTACACAGTTCATCTTGGATGATTACATAGGGCGAGGGAAAGGCTCGACGTGCAGGATTGTCTGTACTCAGCCTAGGAGGATCAGTGCTATCTCGGTAAGTGCCATTTTGACAAAATTAGTAACTTCTTGTGGTTTTTTTTCTTTTCTGTTTTTTCTCTGATGAAAAATTATCGCCTTACTCAGAATGACTGAATGAAAATATGTTTCTTACTGGGCCTGGAATCCGTGGGCAAGTTTCTGAACCAAGTGTACAATTTGCTAGGTTATTTGAAGTTAAGATCTGAAAAAATTCCAGATGACCAGACAGGTACTGTGCACCTCTCAAAGAAACTGCTCATGCTAAATTTAAAGCTCAAACATTCAGCCTGTGGTGGACAGTGAAGATGGCTTTTTGTGTGCTTGTTTTTGGTTGTCTCAGATTCTACTGCAAATAACAATTTTGTCAGTATACACTAATTTGAAGCCTTGCTCTTCTCTGAATTTAATCACGGTTTATATCTGTGATTTGAATGGATTTGGGCGGCACAAATGTGACCTAAGGTAAACACTAATGGTGTGTAAGGTCCTGTAGAGGCATATTAATGAACAGGAAAGAATTTGGCTTTTAAGTGCACAGTAATTATTCTTCTTGATAGTTAAGTATCAAATGATTATAGAACTTCCCGTGAGGAAAAGCTCACCCTGCTGAAAGGGCAAGTGTATTGCGAATGCCTCAATGGTTCTGGTCCTTCAAAATAATGTGATGGGTGGAAAACCTGTTCTTGGGTTGCTGACAGGAAACACTGTTCTCGGTGGAGGAGAAGTGATTTTCAAGGTGTTTCTTTCTTGTTTACATAACATTCCTGCTGATGAGTAGCTAAATTGTAGACCAGCCTTGTGGAATTTAATTTTTTTTTTTAATGCACTATTTTGATTTTTTTTTTCTCTTTCTAAGGTGGCTGAGAGAGTTGCCACTGAGAGGGCGGAAGCATGTGGTAGTGGCAATAGTACAGGGTACCAAATTCGTCTGCAGAGGTAAGGGAGGCTCCCTTGGCAGTGTTTGGTGCATTCATGTACAGTAATATCTATTGTTATTCAAGCAAGAAAATTTGGAAAGTATTTCTTAACATAAGTGACTGCTTTCATTCTGGTATTTTATCCAAAAGGAATTCCAGTGAATAGCTGGTGTAGGGAGTAAGGTTTCTGAAATTTAGCAAAAAGTTTGAGTGCGATTATTGTGTTTTATGCCACGTGTAACAATGGCTAGCACCAAGTTGTATTTGTCTAGTAAGTCCTTTTTTCAGCTCTTCTAAAAGGTTCTGCTATAGATAGAGATAAAACCTATGTTCCTAATCCCTGGATTTCAAGGAAAAATGGAAATGCTAAAGCAAAGAGGGCTATAAGCCATGGTTCTGGGGAAAATTATGTATTTGCTACTCTTGTCTATTGAGAATCCCACTGGGATCAGGTAATAAAGTTAGGTGCACTCACAAGAGTTCATAGACCTAGTGCCATAGAGCAAAAGCTATTACGTGTGGAGTCATCTGTAATTTAAAATAAATATCTGAAATGTGACCAGCAGATAATGGAATCTCAATTGTTAGTGAGAGGTGACAGTTTAGTCCTTTCAGCATTTTGATTTTTATAGAATCTCATTCGTGTTTTTCTTTACTGTTCAATCAAGAAAGTTACACTGCTGTATATTTAGCGTCATCTGTGCTGAGCTTACGTAGCTACAAGAATTTGGGGTCAGGAGATCAACATGCAAATGATGAGAAATGATGTCTGGGAAGTCAGGGCTTTGTCAAATTACAAGTAGTTCATTCCCCATCAGCGAAATGCTGCAACTGTGGCCTAATTCCTTTCTGACAATTGAACTGTAAGTGAGCAAGTTAGAGAATGAGGCATATTTCATAATGTCTGTAATGACTATCTGCGTTTTGATTTTAAGTTTTTGAAGTACTTTGTAAAGTACAGAAGAGAATTGAGGAATTCTTAATGTCTCTCTTTCAGCCGGTTACCAAGGAAACAAGGTTCAATTTTGTACTGTACCACAGGCATTGTCCTGCAGTGGCTCCAGTCAGATAAGTAAGTTTTCCTATTTAATAAGAAACCGAATACAATTATGAAATGACCTGATTACTGAGCTGTTTCTACAATCTCTGCTCTGGTTTTTTAATTTTGCTGAAAACAAATGTTTAACTTCCTGCTCTCTCATTTAGGCACTTGTCCAGCATTAGCCATGTAGTCCTTGATGAAATTCATGAAAGAAATCTTCAGTCAGATGTTTTAATGAGCATTATTAAAGATCTTCTGAATATTCGCTTGGATCTGAAAGTAATACTAATGAGTGCTACTTTAAATGCAGAGAAGTTTTCGGAGTATTTTGGTAGGTAAAATGCTTCCTATGAAAGTTCCCCTGAAGTAATTTAGGCTTCTGTGGTGTAATGCAGTTCCCAGATTTTAGGATTCATTTTATCAAAAGAGGTAATGACTTCAATTTTACAAATAGTTGCCAGCTGATGGAGATGCTTGTTCCCTTAATTCTATCTCATCAGGAGCATATGTTGCTTTGGGATTTGCTATTCAGACATATTGTGGAAACAGTGTCTCCAGAATGTTTTCATGTTAAATATTTACTAATATTTACCATATTTGAGAAGTTGCGGTGTGAGTGGGCAACCGGATTGAAGCCTTTAGTTGTGCAGTGTTCCAGCTGTATCCTGTAGCTGGAACCAGAATAACACGTTGGAGAACAATATACTGCTCAGTACCTGTGCTTTTGTTATTCAGCAACTTTATTTGGAATTGAATTTGGCATCTTCTGTGAGAATTGAAAAATAAACAAACAAAAAGCTCTATAGGCTTGGCAGCTATATTGCAAAAATAGTGGAGCGTTAATTGCCTCTATTAGTTCAGTACAGTATTTTATTTGCTGTTTAGAAGCTGATTTATGCCTTCCTCCACAGATAATTGTCCAATGATTCACATACCTGGGTTCACTTTCCCTGTGGTGGAATATCTTCTCGAAGATGTAATTGAGAAGCTGAGGTAAGTGTATTTCTTGAATCCCATTATCGATAGTATTTTGGGGTTTTTTTGCATAGTATGTCTTTTCAAATATTATCTTGGTATAACACCTGTGGAAAAATTAGTTATGTTTTTCAACAGGAAGCCCTTGAAGGGATGTTTAGTAGCTTTTACAGTAACTAAAAATGGCACATAACAATCTGGAAATGTTGGCTTGAGGAAGAAAAAGCCTTCTCTCTTTTGTTCTTTTGGTGCGGTGGATTTTCAGGCTACTAAATCAATCTGGTCTTTCTGTTTGTTCAAACTTTCCCACTCATTCTTATGCTTACTAGAGAGGGTACCTGTTTTTATAAGTAAGGTTTCTTACAGCAAAGAAATTTAAGAATCTTATTTACATCGTATAGCTAAAGCACTACAATATTGGAAAATTGTTATGCAGCTGGCTTTAAATGACTTTAGTTTCAAAATATAATCATGTTTGTTATTTAAATTTAAAGGTATGTCCCAGAAAACACAGACCGTCGTCCACGCTGGAAGAAAGGCTTCATGCAAGGACATGTAAGCAGACCAGAAAAAGAAGAAAAAGAGGAGATCTACAGGGAACGATGGCCAGACTATTTAAGGCAGCTGCGGGGCAGGTTGTTTTCAAGTTACTCTTTCACCTTAAATTTTTAGACACTTCTTAACTGAGAAACCTAAATTAGTGCTGTATTATATTATTGTGCTTTTATTAATGGTGGGATGGTTGCTGCTGTGGAAAGCAAGAATGATGGAATTGCCAGTACAGCTGGCTGGCAACTGTTGAAGTGCTTTGGAATTATCACAGGGAATCGGCTTCCTTTGTATGTAGCAGGACTTACAGCTGTCAAGTCGCTTGCTGTTGATGTTGGTATTGTCCGTTACAGTCTTCCAACGTGATGTCCGGCTTCTTGAGTGTTGGTCATTAGTTCTCTTCTGATGAGTTCTCTTCTTCGGTCTTCTTCTTTGAGAGAGATCTCTCAGTATTGTAGTCACATAATCAACATAATACAAAATATGCTGGGTTTAAAACAAGCAAACAACAAAAACCCAAACAAACCCCCCAGCAAAACAAAAAGAACTCCTCGCAGCTTTTTCCTCAGGATAGTTTAATATTCCTCTGTAGTGGGTTAAAACCAAGCTCAATTTTGTCTCTGGAGCACCTAGTAGAGATTGTCCCCTTGAAACATTCTTTTGATTGCCAGCGTTTGACTGCTTTGGTAACCTGGATGAGCTGATTAATTGGGTAGCCTGGCTGATTTATTTCAGGACCAGCATATTCCCGTTTTTCTCCTGTCTTTTTTGTCCTTTGCATTTTGGAACTGTCTATTTATCCAGCTGGGTAACACTAATGAATATAGGTGGCTCAGTTTTTATCTCCCTTTTCTAAGGGAAAAGTCCTCAACACGGTATCTCTGTCTGCTGTATTCTGTGCTCTTCTCATCCCATTTGTGCTCCTCCTTCCCTTTCCCACCACGTCTTTTGAGTCAATTGGCAATTCTTTCCATAGTGTTAGCTTTCATGAAGGCAGAGGGCTGAAGAGATGAGATGCCTCCCATGCTCACTGTGAGCGGGGGATAAATTGGAGGGTAAGCTCAGATTGTTTAGGTCCTGGATAATTCATGAAGAGGAGGGAGATGATGTCAATGCTTCAGATGCAGTTTAGTCATATCGTGGTAATTCTTAAACTTACAATTCAAAATTGATGATAATTGCGCTCAACTAAATCTCAAGAGTACATTGGAGGTTCAGTAATTGAACAGATGAAGAAATAAGTTGAACAGTAGTAGTTAGCTAGATGTATGATTGCAGAGCCTTGTAACAGAAACACGAGTGCGTGACTTACCGGTGTGCGTGCTTACAATGCCTGCAGGTATTCAGCAAGTACCATAGATGCCTTGGAAATGATGGATGATGACAAGGTGGACCTTGACCTTATAGCAGCACTTATCAGACACATCGTTCTGGAAGAAGAGGTACACTTCTGTCTCCTGTCCTCACTTTTTAACGGTGTGACTGAGTTGTCGTCAGAGGCTGGTGGGAGGAGTGTCAGAGCTGATCGTTACTTTGCTTTCTTATACAGATACAAAGAAGGAGGATTTTTTTGTTTTGCTCTTCTGAGAAGTGATTAGCAGCTTTAAGTATCTAATTACTATTTAAGCACTGAGTTTAGAATGTGGTTAGAGTGTTCATTGAAATGATGGGATAGTCTCCATCTTTAAAGGGGAGCACACATCTAAGCATTTTCTTGGGTGGGGATTGGGGATATTAACAAGAGCTATGTGCATAAAAAGGTTGGCAAACTTACATTTGATATGCTCATTTATGGTCTCTTCTGAGCAAGGGGGGAAAAAGAGCCTGAATTCTTTCACTGACACTAGGGATTGGTAAATAAAACAGGATAGATATCTGCAGGTTTGGGTGCCATTTGGATTCAGATTGCTGCACTTTTTTTCTTTTGGATAAGCTTTTAAATAAGCCTTCAAATAAATTATACCACAAGTAGTTATTTGATGGAAAGTACTATACTTGTAAATAAAATTTTAACTTCTAGTTCTTTGTGTGACTGCATGTTTGGCAAAGGTAGTAGTCTTTGTAGTGTGTAGAAGTTGTGTTTTGTGAAAGCCATAGAGAACCCTCTGAAAACCTGTTTAGTGTACAGCTGAATCTGTCCTGAATTCCACAGCAATGGGAGGGAAAGGGGGCAAGCAATTCTTAGAGTTCATGTTCACGGCCTCACGTCCACACTGTGCAGTTGGCTTTAATGTTTTTTCTACCTGAGCAATCTAAATCTGACTGAGATGATGTGAAGACTGAATTTTTGTACCGCCTGGCAAAAGTCCAGTCACAATTACCAAATGCACAGCTAGGAGACTCTTCCTACTTTCAGCTGTTGAGATTAGTAGTTAATTTTCAGCTGCATTAATATTTGTCCCCAAATGTGCCTTACCTTGTTATTTAGTAATAACATTATTGGAATATTAATAACAGAAGGATGTGCCTGAAGCAGTGACAAACTTGAAGTAAGAATAACTTCTGTTACCGTAGGTATAATGTATGTAGATTGTCATGACCTGAAGGTATATGTTTGTTTCTGTGTTCAGAAACATCTGTGGAAGAGCTGGCACCTTGGCTGATTTCCTAAAGAGAATTTTGGTTATTAAAAATATTAAATCGTTCAGAGTTTCAGTTGATGGATCATTCAAGCTGTGGATATTGAGGATGAGTTGCTGTTTCATATTTCGTTCTTCCTGTGTTGAAAATTGTACATCAGCTTCTCTCTGTTTCAACAATTTACAGCTCAAATTCTTTTAGTGTTGACATGGTGGTGTTTAAAACACTGCAGGGGAAAAATGTTTAAAATAAAAATTTTATTTATTGTGTTCAGATAAATAGATGAACCTAACTCTCTTGTAGAAAAAAATCTTATAAACTTTGTTCCAAATTTGAGTCAATGAGGTTTCAAATATCACCTATCCAACATGTACGTGTTAGTGCGCAAGTAGCTGGTTCTTTGCATAGCACAGAATGTATTCTAACCTCTTTCCCCTTCCCTCCTTCTCTTGTATTTAGGATGGTGCAATTCTAGTGTTTCTTCCAGGCTGGGACAACATTAGCACTTTGCATGATCTCTTGATGTCACAAGTCATGTTTAAGTCAGGTAAAACCAAAGTTTTTACATGGGAATTCTAGCAGTAGCATTAGTGGCAAACTCTTAATTTTTGCATGTGATTGCTGGTATTGCATTGGATTTATTCTTTTTTCTCATCTCTCCTCTCAAAATGACAGAGGCATGTTCAAGGTTTTTTGCATTTCTATGGTATCTCACTGCTGCTAACTCATTTTCCTCGGTGTAGGAGAGGACAATCTGAAAAAGAATCTCAGACCTCCATCTTTTTCCTTTTGTCCTTTCTTGTGGCTATGATAACTTCCATTAATAACTAAACTTTTTTTCATTCTGTGTTCATTTCCTCTTTTCTTGATTCTTCAGCAGCTTCTGTCTACTGCTTTGCTGATAGTTCTTTCAAATCCTGTTTATTCCTAGAAGCTTTTTTAATAGGACACTAAAGTACTCTATGCCTCTCTGACACACTTTAATTTGTCTGGTTTGCATAACTTGTATTCCAATCTAACTCGTCTAACTGTGCTCTTGACTATTCAGATAGTTGTCTTGTGGTTCATATTGTGTACGTAGATAAAGAATTGAAATTTATTGAAAATTTGAGTGTGTCAGTTTATTTATTAAACCTGAGCAGTTACTAAATAACTTGAGAATTTTAAAATGAAATATAAATTACAGTACATAACTGTATATTTTCTTAAACTTGTCAAGTTGTCATAATGTAATGAAAAAAAATTCCTTTATGCCTTTTTACTTTAGAATTTGCCATTATGATACACATACCTGTAAATTCAGAATAAGAAACGTTAGACTTACTCGCAGCATGTTTTCTCTGTTCTGCATACTTGATTTTCCAGTAGAATTAAGATTTCTGTGCTTACACCGTATCTTTTACTGATCTTTAATTTTCAGATAGGTTTATTATCATACCTTTACATTCATTGATGCCTACTGTTAACCAGACTCAGGTATGCTTTTATTTTGTTGTTATGCAATAAAGTAACGTTTCACAACTACAAAAAAAATAAACATACGTTTGTTTTTGGCAAACATATAAATGGGCCATGGATAATTACAGGTTTTTAAGAAGACCCCGCCAGGAGTAAGAAAAATCGTGATTGCTACCAACATTGCAGAGACTAGGTAAATAGCTAGCTACACAGACTGAAAAAAGCTATATATTTAACAGAATAAATGAAAGTGTAATCTAAAGTATAAACCTGTTTAATATTTCCAAAATATGTGGGTTTGTATTTGTACCATTCGTTTACAACACTTTAGCTTTAGGAATGTTTGTAGACTAAATGGGAGTTTTCCTTTGTTTTAAACAATTAAAATGTGGATGTTACTGTAAAGACTCACCTTTAGATTTACATGATAAATCTGAGCTGCCTGTCCTCTCTGCAGGGTTCATAACCCCATCAAGCTCTTTGTTGAACTGCTTAGTAATGTAGTTCTTAGTGAAATTCCAAACATATTTTTTTATTGTGGAGGGGGTAAAGAGAGGCTAGACCCCTTTAAAGTCCTGGGTCAAGCTTGCAGAGATGAAGAGTTGCATTTTTTTCTCTCTCTTTTTTTTTTTTAAACAGCATTACAATAGATGACGTCGTGTTTGTTATAGATGGTGGAAAAATAAAGGAAACTCACTTTGACACACAGAACAACATCAGCACCATGGCAGCAGAGTGGGTTAGTAAAGCTAATGCCAAGCAGAGGAAAGGTCGAGCAGGAAGGTAAGAATAATGGGGATAGTTAGAAAAGTTTTGTGATGTGAAGTTTCCATCAGTTTTGGAGCATGTATGCTGGAGAAACTACTTGGTACTACTACTTCTTGTAGAAGAATAAGTCCCACTTTTTTTTTTTTTTTTAATTTTTGGTGGTGGCGTTTGTCCTCACACCTGATTTATGAGATTACGATACATTAAAATGAAAATTGCGTACAAGTTAATGCCACTTAGCTATATACCAATTTTTAAAAAATTTCTCTCCCCATCAAAATACCTTGTGGAATATTGTGTCTTGTTCAGACTTACAGTTCTTCTCTGGTCTCTTCAGTACTCCTGAGCGGTTGGTAGGAGGTTTCTGTGTTCTGCATGCCTTTTTTCCTGTTGATGGGTCTGTGTTTCAGAAAGCTGAAATGGCTTTTACAATTGAATACCTTTCAGTTTTAATTCCTTGAGGTGTTCTGGAAAGCTGTTTATAAACAAACACAATCCTATTGTCAGTGTCATAGAAAAAAAATACAACTGCTTATTTAAATAATTCCAGAGTTCAGCCAGGCCACTGTTACCATCTATACAATGGACTGCGTGCTAGCCTTCTAGATGATTATCAGTTACCAGAGATCTTGAGGACACCTTTGGAAGAACTCTGCTTACAAATCAAGGTAAACATATGAATATTCAAATATATTATTTACTTTTCCAGCAGAATAAGGCATTGAGAGACTAAGGTAATGCAACTGTGAGCCTAAGTACAATGTTTTTGTCTAATGATTGCAGCAACTTTTGACAAATACCTACTTCTGTCTAGATGCATCAAACCCAGAAAAATAGGATTGTCTAGTATAGCTAAAAGCTGAAGTCTATTAACCAAAATTTGGACTGTGCTTCCCCCTCTTTGCCCCAAAATGTCATTCAATCAGAGGAGCTTCAGCAAGAATGCCAGTGAGTCAAGGGATATAATGTCTTAAAAGAATTTTACGAGGAAGCAGTTTTAGAACTGAATACCATGTATATGCATACTGAATGAAGAAGAGATCCTTATGCTTCAAATTTCATCATTAATACATTTTAATTTTTGTCCTCGTTCTTAATTAGTGACATTCTAACTCAAGCTGTGAATTATTCACACTTTTTAAATTAATGTGTTTACTGCTTACTGACTTTAGGTAGCCATCTTTCTCCAATTGCTGCAGGTTTGGTGTTTTTTTTTTTTCTTTCAGATTCTAAAGCTTGGTGGAATTGCTTATTTTCTGAGTAAACTAATGGATCCACCATCTCGTGATGCTGTAATGTTGGCCATAAATCATCTGATGGAACTGGTAAAGTATTGCTTAATGTACATGCAAGGAAAAATCTGTTTAGAACTGTGTTACTGCGTTGTTATCAGACAGATATTGTATTTTACACATCTAGACACTTGCAACCCCTTATTGTATGCTGTAGACCCTTTATGTATCCTCACTGAACAGAGGAAATAATTTCACATAATACATGATGCTTATGGGCTGCGTAGAGTAGTTCCTGAGGAACTTTTCAAGTGGCTCAAAACATACATGTGCACCTCACATTTAACTCACTGCCTCTGTAACAGCCTGCTCATGGCTGCACCCACCAAGCCTTCCTATCCCAGTCAGATCAGTGAAGAGTCTGAGATACTTTTCCTGTGGGCAAATAAGGCATAGAGGAGAACGATCTTGTGTGTCAGTGCCCCTTTGGATGCTGGGGAGGGAGAGATCAATGACACATCTGTACTACTGACTTCTTGCCGTGGTATTACTTGTACAGATCAATTGTAGCAATAAATTGAAACATCTGATTTAGATGAAGGGTAGTATCTAGACTGACAGTGTGATTCTGTAATTGTTCAGATAAAATTCAGCTGTACGTTGGGCATTCTGTGACAATGCTGTATAGTAGCAAAGGGTAAATAAAACCAGAAGTGATATTAAAGGTAAGATACAAATCTAAAGATAAGCTTGATCAGGAGGATAGGAAGACACTTCAAGTGTTAATAATTCTTTGTACTTTCATCTAGAAAGACACTGAGCCCTAGTAAACCTCTTGAAACAATTAAAAATGGTTGCTGTTTGCTTGGACCTAATTGAACACTTCTCTTTCTCCATAACTCGTTTGATCTCTTTCCTACCATACCTTGTCACAGCTCACTGCGTTCTCCAGCTGTTGGGCTTTCCTTTGGTCTCTGGGTATACTAGTGGCTATTTCAAATAAATCCTCCCTATATTTCAAATACTGTGTTTATTCTTTTTTCCTTTTTTAATATTCTGACAGAATGCCTTGGACAGACAAGAAGAACTGACTCCACTAGGTGTCCATTTAGCACGATTACCAGTTGAACCGCATATTGGAAAGATGATCCTCTTTGGAGCTTTATTCTGCTGCTTGGATCCAGTATTGACAATTGCAGCTAGCCTCAGCTTCAAAGACCCTTTCGTCATTCCTCTGGTAAAGTTTCTAAGAGGAGAATCACACATAAGATTTTAGGAATCTTGGATATTGGGAATTACTGGGATGTTATCGTTTAAAAGCACTTTAATCTTATTTTCATATTAATTACATTTTTAGTAGTAAAAGATTGCCTTCGCATACTATGAAGTATTGTCTTTGCCTACAGAATACTGGAAGTAGCTTTAGTTTTCATGTGTTTATCAAACAAAGTATTGTGGCATATATGTACCTTAATCAGGAAAAGACAACTGGTGTGTCAGTCATGAATATTTTATAGGTTCTAATTATTCTTAGGGTAAAGAGAAGGTAGCAGATGCAAGAAGAAAGGAACTGTCAAAGAACACGAAAAGTGATCATCTGACTGTCGTGAATGCTTTCACGGTGGGTGTGTTTTGATGTTTGGTTTTTTTCCTTCTAGAATTTAAATTTGAGTAATATGGATTATTCTAAGGAAAAAACTGATCAGTTTATGCTCTGAAGTATTTATTTCTTTGCTTCTACAGAAACATAAAACTAGATTAATTTTCACCCTTCTAGCATTGAGGAATCTTGTCTTCAGGCTCAATAACCTAATTTCTTGTGGATATGTCTATGAAAGAGACAAAACATAATGTTATAGTTACCTTGTTGAAGTCATTAATTCTTGTTAATGGCAACCAACGAAGTTCTGGCAAACTTAGCTAGATTTCACTCCTCACCACGAAAAAGAAAATTTTAAATTCAAAATGTTGTAAAGTTGTGTTTTTCTACTCTATGCTGCATATATATAAACAAGGAGATCAAAGGATTTACTTTCTCTCTTGTATGGAAAAATGTAACCATATTGTTTGTTGACCTCCAGTTTTTGCTGTCCTTAGTTCTTTAGTATGCGTTCACTTACAGAACGTCTTTGAACTATGGTTTTAATTCTTAGGGCTGGGAAGAGACTCGGCGTCGTGGTTTCAGAACTGAGAAAGACTATTGCTGGGAATATTTCCTGTCTTCAAATACACTCCAGGTAACATCCTGACACTTTAAAAAAGAGGATCATGTCTATGGGGAAAAGGGGAGGACCCTTTTGGCACAGCATCATTCTGGGACAATTTTTGTTGTTTCCTAGATGCTGCATAACATGAAAGGACAGTTTGCCGAGCATCTCCTTGCAGCTGGGTTTGTGAATAGCAGAGACCCCAAGGATCCCAAATCTAATACCAACTCAGGTAAACAGTCAAAGGAAGTGGTAAATTTCTGACAGCTGAAGTCTCAGGTTGCAGAACTGTGTTATTTACTTTGCTGTCTTCTGCAGGTAATGAGAAGTTGCTCAAAGCCGTCATCTGTGCTGGTTTATATCCAAAAGTTGCAAAGATCCGGCCAAGCTTCAGCAAAAAGAGAAAAATGTAAGGGTTTGGTTTAATGTTGGTTTGTATTTGAGGTGTCTTCTACATTGGGTGGTTTGGCCAGGTGAAGCAATGGCTTAAGTGCAGGAATTAATCTCTGTATAGCTCCATCAGAGTGTGGGTTCTTTCATTGAGACAGGTAGGTGAGGGCATGGGATTGTTGATCTTTTCTTTGTTTAACACTTGGATACCTGCTAGTCTGAAAAAATTTGTGTGACCCTATCATGCCATGGATATTGTTACAATATATCAATAACACTGCTGCTAAAGGAGACCTACCATCATCTCTGATCTACAGCAGCAGTTGAAACACTAGCTTCTCTTATTATTTGGCAACTTACAGCCCAGAAATTCCGGCCTATTGATTTATCACTACTTATATTATCAGACTATTTATTCTTGCATTAGATTGCATAATTCAGACCCATCGATAGCTGACACTGCTAGTCAGGTGATTAACTCCCTTTTAAACTGGGTTCACTGTGCTGGAGTCACCGAAAGGATGCAGTGAGCTTGCAAACCTGAGGGAAGTTACTGTGTTGCTGTATCTCTGCTGCATGGTGGAGCTGGGTGTAAGCCAGTGCCCAGGAAGGTTCAATTTTATCATCCACTGAAGAAGAGATTTGTTACACCAACAGCTTTGCTGGAGAGGCTCTCCCACCTGCTGTTTCTGTTCCAAACGCGGAACTCTGTGTTTTGCAAAATACTTTTGCACACAGGGAGTGCAGAGCTCAGTGATCCACACCTAAAGAATTACATCTCTAACTTTTTTTTTTCCAAAAAATTGCTTGAAAATTTATTTATGTAACCAAATTCAGTAACTCACAAATTTGGAAAAAGAATGCCACTTGTTTTTTCTACTAGAGAGAATCACAGACTTTATTAAGGGGGCAAATTTGACAAAAAATACAAACTTCTTGAAGGCAGAGAGAGAGATGTCTAAAATTCATGCTGTAGATTCAGTTGTAATCTTCTGGGAAAGGAGTTTCTTTGAACATCCTTGTACTGTCAGAGTTTAGTATACTAGTAGAGAATTGGAGGGTTTTTTTAACTTTGGACATGATTCTGATAAACTTTCAACATCTTATTTCAATCCTAAAATAAAAACTATTTTTTTTTTCTTTTAAGGGTGAAAGTTTGCACCAAGACAGATGGAACAGTTAATATTCATCCTAAATCGGTTAATGTGGAGGAAACAGAGTTCCATTATAACTGGCTTGTCTACCATTTGAAGATGAGAACTAGCAGTGTATGTGCAAGTTAATATTGGTGTAATTTATTTTTGTAGCTCTTTAATAAGACTGGATCAAGGTTCAAAGGGGATGTGAACAGTGTCTTTGTTTGAAGCCTTCCTGTCTTGGGTTGTTTCTTTTACATGCTCTCAGATATGTTCTGTGTGATACTAGTGGTATTGTTCCACAAATGGCTAATATACTAAATTCGGGTTTTTTGGTGGTTTGTTATTTGGGTTTTGGGGTTTTGTTTTTATTTTAAGAGGTTCTGGCAATGACAGGTGTTTTCTTCTTTTTTTTTTTTCTTTTTTTTTTTTTTTTCCCTCTATCCAGTGTAGCACTCTTGAATATGCTGGGAAAAAAAAAACCTGTTTTTTTTTTTTCCATAACAATCAGAGGAATAGTTTGGTTCTATTTCACCACCTTGTGTGAAGGACTGTATTTGGGACCATTTTTGCTCCTGTTTAATCTGATTTCATGTAACTTTTCCAGCTGAGTTGGAATTCTGAGTTTCGTTAAGGATTACTGTTGTCACTTGAGATATTTTGAAGAGTGATGGGACAATTTTGTTTTCTTCCAGATTTACTTGTATGATTGTACGGAGGTCTCTCCATACTGCCTCTTGTTCTTCGGAGGAGATATATCCATTCAGAAAGATAAAGATCAGGAGACCATCGCTGTGGATGAATGGATCGTTTTCCAGTCTCCAGCAAGAATAGCGCACTTAGTTAAGGTGACTATGTTTAATAATAATTTATGTGGAAGGCTTAGTCTGACACTGATTCTTCTTAGGGATGTCTATATTTTATGTTACTGTGTACCTACTGATTTATCACTACAGGGGGATAACAATGTTTTAAATGTATTCCCAGTAAGCAAGCAGTTCAGGTACACAAACAAAAGAGATGTACCTGAGGTGTGTAGATGAATGGCAGTTAAAGCACAATAGTAAAAATAACATTCCTAACAGTCTGTATCCCATGGTAAACTGGGCAGAAGTAAATAGTAATGTACTCCCTTGTGTTTGGCCTTAGGAGCAGACAGTCAAGATTTTTTTGTTGTTGTTGTTTCCAGTGGAACAGCTTGACTAATGAGAACGAGGCTGTTTGTCTATTGAGGCATCAGGAATATGGTGGTGATGTTCAGCCGCTGCAGCCTCTGCTGAAAAATTCATGGGATACTGAAAAAAATACAGGAGCTTAGAGGAGAGTACAGAGTGGATTTAAAGGATTTATAAACATGTTTTACAGTGAGAGATTTGACGAGCTTTAGTCTTTGTAGTTTTCCATAGCAAAAGATGTAGGATGACTTATCAGTCAATGAAGTGTCCACATGGATATGGAAATGTAAGGACTGGGCTCTGCAGCTAGGAGTAATAAGTTCCAGTGGGAGGAGGAGCTGAATAGAGCTCTGTTTAATATTAGATCCTGGAAATCATATCTGACTTTTTTTTAAACTCAAGTATTTTTAATCCTGAAATAATCAGATAATGGATGTGTAGGGTGTTAAAGGCAATCACATCCAGAAATGGTCGTCTGTCATAAAAGGTGCAAAACTGCTAGTTTTTGAGAAGCAGCTTTTGATCCTGAAAATAGCAATGCTGAAATCAATTGATAGAACAGCAGGTGTAACAATTAGGAGAATGGGGGGGGCCCAGGGATTTGAATTTACTGGAGTAATGTTGTTGTGTGTAGCTCTAATTGCCTGTCTCTTCTCTTTTTTTCCTCTTTTTTTCTTCATTCCAACAAACTCTTTCCAGAATTTAAGACAAGAGCTCGATGATCTTCTACAAGAAAAAATAGAAAACCCACATCCCGTGGACTGGAATGATATTAAATCCAGGGATACAGCAGTACTGACAGCTATTATAGACTTAATCACAACGCAGGAGAATGAAAGTGTCAGAAACTATGCTCCACGATTCCAGGGTGAACGCTATAGTTGACGCACTTTCATCTGTATCGATAAAGCCAACATATTCACCTTCTTTGTTTTGTTTTTTGATAGCATTTATTTAGCCTAGAGGAAAAACTTTTTTAGGGTGAGCTGGTAATTCCCTCATGCTGAAGAGCAGTTATTTCAAAATAGTTGGTAATATCTGTATATGCATGGTACTCTGTGTTCAGTGTAGCTTTTTAAATAAGAGACAATGCAGTGCTAGCTATGTTAGTTGATGTATCGTTCTTGTCCTGCTATAGCATTTTTTTACCCACCAGGTAACAGATATTAAAAAAAAAAAACCTGCTAAAATGCTGCTTAATAATATTTAAACTAACCTTGTTACTGGTAAAAACATCTCAAAAAAAATTTTTTTTTTTAATTGGGGATGGTGAGTAATTAGTGTTATTCCAGCTGCGCAGCAGTCTTCTCACCAACACTTCCACAGAAGGTAATTATAGCTTAATTAAACTAAACTTGAAAACACTTGTATGGTGGGAGGAAACAATCTTTGGAAACATTCTCTTCTTCTGCCTTTCATCCCATTTAATTAATCTTTCTTCCCTTTCTGTGTCCATCTGTCATCACTACTGTCTAAAATTTTGGATTACAGGAAACATGGTTAGATAAAAGTCATGGTGGAATACACTTTAAGGCGTCATTACGTTCTAATTTTTCTTTTTTTAAAAACCAGCCTGTGTATGGGTTATAGTATTACATTAAAAGTCTTTTCTTTAAAGTGTTATTTCTTCTTAGTTCTCAATGTTTTGAACGCCATTCTGTTTTGAATTATTCCAGCTGTGTAAATAACAAGGCTTGTTTAGGATTTCAAGTGGAATTGTTTGAGAAATAACCATTTTGATCAACCTTGTGGCAGTGTGGCAGACCTGCTCTTTCCTTTCAACCCTGGGGGCTGGATTTGGGGCTGCGCTCTGTTCCCCCACTGCTGGGGGACCTAACATGGGTGTGAAGGCACTGAAAAGTGCTGGTGGGTTTTGTTACAGCTGTAGTTATGGTTATTTCTAGGTTTGTCTTCCAGGAACAAAGCTCTTGCATCTCATTTTTAATTAGAAATCTCACCTCTTCGCCGCGTTTGGTTTTGCTTCTTATGCTTTGCAAAAATAACCTTGACCACCAAGCTGGGGTGGATTTATGACCCTTATCCTGAAGAAAAAAGAACTGGTCAGGTGAAACTATTTTTATATGTAGAAATAAGTCTTAACTTAGTGATCAGAGGGTTTAACAAGGAGTGGAGGGATACCAACCTCATTATTTATACAACACAGCTGCAAACAACTTAGACTTACCTCCCTCCCCCCGAATCAGTTTATTTTACCCACAGGTGGTGAGGTTTGAGTTTTAAATAGGGAAGGACGAGGCAGTTTCAGGGGAAAAGCCCCGGAGCCGCTTGAGGGGTTGTGTGGAGAAAACCGGGACTGTGAGGAACCACCGGAGGTCGCCGGGACCCGCCAGAAGCTCGGAGAACCAGGTAAGCGCAGAAAGCGGTCGGTCTGCCTGCCTCAGGGCGGTCGGGGAGGGGGCGGTGAGGCGCTGTGAGGAGGCGGGAGAGCGGGGCGGGGCGGCGCGGCGCGGCAGCTGTGAAGGTGAGGTGTGGAATCAAAGCGGGAGGAGAAAAGGAAATCAAATTGGTGATAATTTGTGTGGAAATGGAAATGAAATAATTTGATTGTAGGGCTGGATCTCGGGCATGTGGTTTTGGAAACGGAAAAAGTGTTTTTTTGGGATAGGTGCAAGCGATTCAGGAGGACACAAGATGGCGCCCAGGGCTGAGGGAGCAGCTGCGTGGCTGGGGGCGCTGCTCCGCATGGCAAATCTGCAGGTTTTTGAGGAAAAATCGGCAGCAGTGCCGTTACTGGCAGGGAAAGTCCTGAAGGAAATAAAAGTTGCTGGGTTTTATTTTCCTTGGTTTTTGCAGTGGATAAAAGAAATGGAGCTTAAATGTCTACCTGACAACACAAAGGGCGAAAAGAAATGGTAGTGCTAGCAGAGCCTAGGTGAGAATAGCAGTGTTGGTTGAACACATCAAAGACAGCAGTTTGCTCAGCCCCTCCAAACTGTGGATGATCAGGATCAGACTGGGATTAGGGCTATGGACAGCAGACACGCACACTGGAGTGGTCATGGGTTGCTGTCCTCTGATCGTTACTTGTAAAGTAATGTGACTAATGTCTAAATAATTAATTATCTGTACTTTCCCAACTGTGCTTAAAGCATGAAACTTAACATACTTCTTAAGCAGAAAAGTATCAGGAACTTCTGTGTTCTTCAGAGTTTGAATTTTAGCCTTTTCCAAATGTCAGGTGTGGTGCTTTTGTCTGGGATAGAGTTCATTTTGCTCTTAGTAGCATGTATGGGGCTGTGCTTTGGGTTTATCATGGAATCTGTGTTGATAGCACAGAGATGTTTAGGGTATTGCCGAGGGTGGAGCCCCTTCTTGTTTGACACACAGTCCCCCCCCTTGAGCAGGTGGGCTGGGGGTGTGCAGGAAGCTGTGTGGGGCACAGCCGGGACATCTGTTTGTTACCTGTGCTGGAGCCCCGCTTTCCTGGGGGTGGCTGGACACTTGCCCGCTGATGGGAAGTGAGAAGGTATGCTTGCTTTTGGTTTGCATGCGCCCGCAGCTTTTGCTTTATGAATTAGTCTGTCTTTATATCAAACTACAAGTTCTTTGCAGTTTTACCCTTCTGATTCTGTTCCTCATCCCCCCCCACTGAGGGGGGAAGGGAGTGAGTGAGAGATGTGGAGTTTAGCTGCCTAAAAGGGTTAAACCACAACATCAGGTGCAATCAAGGAGGTAATGTTGATGTGTAAGGCTTTGAATTTCTTTTCCTATGGCTAGCCAGAGGCCATGAATGTTTCCCTTTCCCGTTCATGAAGGCTGTTTCTGCCTATGTGTTAGAGTTTCTAGCATCTTCTGGAACTGCAGCTTATGGAATGAAACAATAACTTAGTGGTGGTAATAAATTTTTCCTGACCTTAATTTTCTCTCCAGTTTGCCTGAATGATGTAGTTGTTAAGATACAGCTGTTGAAGATCATTTGCAGTAGAGCCGAGAGTACCACTGAAAAACTATCTCTGTGTAATTCCCAGGAAACAAGACCTCCTCGGATTTCCTCAGTCTTGGCATCAAAATTTATCCTAGGTTTGTTTCTAACACTTGTGTTCTGTGCACTTGTTTTGAGGGTGTTACTTTAGAAACAGGATATGCAGGAAAAAGGAAGTTAGTGTGAATACAGATAAGAGTTTAAACTATGTGTAAGGACGATGCCGCACAGACTCATTTCATGAGGATGTGTAGCTTGGCCAAGGTGGTGCTATTTTACATCTTTGTTTTCAGCAAATTAGCTTTGCATAATGGAGAACAAATTTATTCTTTGACTTGAAGGTCAAAACAATACTGTATTATAGCATTACTTTTTTAAAAGTTCAGATAAAAATGTTCTATTTATTATGTTGCAGGGATGATAGAAAGAACCAGAAAAGACAATAACTGTTCTTTAGTTGTGTCATATGAGTGTTTGGAAATGCTGAGACAAGTTGATGTCAGTTGGGCACTGGCTTTCTGAAGGGGTGCTTGGTGGCTCTCAGCAGGCTGCAGACCAGTGTAGGCTTCTGGGCTGGCCAGGACTGGGGGGGTTCCTTCCCTGGCAGTGCTGATGGTCAGTCTTGGCTTCAGTGAGGGGTGAGCGTAAACCTGAGATTCCATTCTTGTCCGTGCAGGTACCTAATTGTTGGGCCAGTCATACACATTGGACTTAGTGTGGTTTCTGCACAACTTACTAACATAATGTATGTTTAATTGCATCATGTAAAAGGAAACTTTGATTCAGGGAACCGAGAGCCTTTTATTTTTGGTCAATTTCCTTTTAACCTGATTGGAGAAGCCTTGTAGTGAAGGGGTACAAATTCCAGGCCTTGTAAAAATGAAATGGAAAGTTAATTTTATAGTGACAAACTCGCACCTGTATTCTGTCACTGCTGGGCTGTTTAATTAAAAAGGAGTTAGTAGTCCTTTTTAAGTCTGTCCTCATCCTTGGGCAAGAGAGAAGGAGAGTGTGAGTGTATGTGTATACGCAATGAATGTGTCTTTTTGATAAATTTCCTTTGCAACAGAAGTGCTCATCTTAGAGCAAGTCAGAGTTAGAGGATGATTTATTTTTTTGCTAATGAAAATATTGTAGAGTTGCTAGAAGGGGAAAAACAAAACAAACCCTTAGCTTTTGAAAACTTGTTTATACAAACTTCTAAATAAATTGCTTGTCATACTGTCTTAAATTTCTAAGATGTCTTTGAGCTATGATGGAATGTAGAGTGAAAGTTGAGTATTTAGAGAGGTCATACTAGTTATCAGGGTTATGCCTGCTGGATGCCCAGTCCAGGCATATGCTGATGCTCCACTAACCAGAACACAGTGCAAAGTCTTTTACTCTGTGCCTGGGGGAATGCTGTAGTGCAGCCTGGAGCAGCTTAGAAAATGTGATGGCATCAGCTGCTTCCCTATAAACCTCATGGCTCTTCAGGATGTGCTCCGCCTCTTTTTTACTTTGATCCTTTGTCAGGCATTGTACAGGTGGGGCAAACAAATTATGCAGACAAACAGAGGGGACAGTCAGATAAAGGAATTAATTTGTAGCTGCTGTACATGTACCAGTGAGGCTGTACCAGCTCCTAGGCTAAGGGTGAGGGTGTCACCACTCCTGAGGTGGATCCTAGCCCATCTGGGCCACCATGCAGTAGTCCTGAGGCTCCCTGTGCCCCAAGCTGTCAGCACTAGCACAAGCCATCATCTTCCTTTTGTATGCGAATCCCCAGATAATTGATGCATCATAACTGCAATACAGTCTTCCAGCATTTATTGTAACTATTTCATAGTAACTAGTGCAGTCAGCTTTAGCACAAGCCCTGGACCCAACACTTCCACTTCCCAGGTGCTCTGCAGTAAGGCCTTGTTTCATCCTTCTCCCTTGATTAATTTTGAATTATTTTCTGCACAGTTGCCTCTAGAAGTCAGGTGTGCAAAATGTATTGGATCCCATGCCCACGTTCTTTCTTAGAGGCTCATAGAGGGCAGCAAAGCTGGGGGCGGGGGTGGAAGGCATGTCCCCTGAGGAGCAGCTGAGGACTAATTTCGAGACAAGGAGGCTAAGGGGTGACTTGATAGTTATCTGCAGCCCCCTGAAGAGGGGCTGGGGAAAAGGAGGTGCTGATCTCTTCTCCTTGGAGTCCAGGGATAGGATGCCTGGGAACAGTTCACAGCTGTCTTGGGGGATGTTTAGCCTTGACATTAGGAAGCATTTCTTTGCTGAGAAAGGGTGGCCAAACAGGGGACCAGGCTCCCTAGAGGTGGTTGGTGCCCCAAGTGTGTCAGTGTTTCCAGAGGTGTTTGGACAGAGCCCTTAGTTCCATGCTTTAACATGGGCTCAGCCTGGAAGTGGTGGGACTAGATGATTGCTGGAGCTCCCTTCCAAATCCAGGATAGAAAGCCAAGAGGAAGATCCTTATATTCTCAACTGTTTTCCTCTCTCCTGCTACAGTCTGAGAGATGATGAGATGCTCTCCATTTTATGCCATTGCTCCAGCTTCGTGGGTGTAGAGGTAAATTGGCTCTATGACAGATGAAGAAGGACACATGATGGTGCTATTTATCTTTACAGAACAGAAATTTAAAAATACCACAGGTCGCAGAACAGATTTAATTTCTTTGCCTCAAATGACTGCAGCTTAAGAGTAGTGCTTAAAAGGAAAACTGAAGCTTATTTTTTTAGTAAGGATTTAAAAGTATTTTATTGATTGTTGTCCTATAAAAATCATAGAAATTTTTAATTCCTGAACAACTGTCTGACAATAGGAAAAATGTCTTTAAAAAACATTACAGCATTTGTGGAAAAACTAGGTATGAAAAATATATACAATTCATTAAAAAAAATCTGAATAAAATTAATGTCTGGATTTTTACATTCACTTGTGTTAAACATCTGCCTGTGTACAATAAAATTTGTTAAAGTATTAGCAGTATTTTTACTATGTTAAATAATCTTTGTTCAATTTACAGTTTGTCATTACTGTTTTATCAGTCCATGTATAAATTAATTTACAAAAGGCTGTATAACCACTGTCAGACTGTCAAGGTAAGTATTTTTGTACAAAATATTGCCTTCTTAATTGTTACAGAGATACATCTTTATAAACATCCAATTCATTCATAAATCAACATCGTACAGTATATAAAACATCATACAGCCTCTTTAAAAAAGACAGGGAATGCAACAAAAGTAAGCCTTTGTACTACACCTTTTCTCTCTTTTTTTATTGAACAGGTGTTCTACCCTGCTGAGTTATCAGCTGGTCCTTATAAAGATTAAGATTTTTTTATAATACAAACTGTCACACCTATATACAGAATAGACGCACTGCAGTTTACTTCATTTTGAGTGCATTTTGTTCACACAACATTAAGTGGTTGGGTTTTTTTGTGAAATTCCAAAGCTAAACTGCTAATGCAAAAATTTAGCAGGTGTTGGGTGTAGTGCAATTGTGACAAGTCTTCTCTAAAGCAGAGAGAAGAGGATGTGTGAAGCAGCACCAATGCAAGCTCCTCAGAAAGCAAGGTATGAGTACTGTTTGATCTAGTGCTTGCTCTCCCTCCCTGGGCTCTTGCCTGAAGCACCCAATGACATCCACTCACAGTGCAGTAGGGGAAGGCAAAAAGATGATAACAAAATACCAAGTTAAGGTGCTGAGCTGTCTCTGTCCAAGGCTTTCCTCCATGGTTGTCTCCCCATTTATATATTTGATGGATACAAGATCTTAACACCTTAACAAAACTCTGCAGCTCTTAATACTCCTTCTCTTTTGTGCCTGTGGACTAAAAATGATGCTAATAAATGCTCCACAGAAGGAAATAATCCACTCTACTACAGACAAACAGACTAAAAACCAACCAGACCCCCTCACCCCAGAACAAAGTTTCTTAGGAGGAGGACCCCCCCCACTATTGCTCTTCATCTCCCACTCAGTTTCTGGTGTTCAGTCTCCTGTAGAGAGACTCCTGCTACACTGAGTTCTGGAAGAAAGTAAAAAATGCTCAAAAACAGAGGGAGAAATTTTACATAGGGAGGGATGGAAGAACTGCAGTTGAAACTGAAACTTGAGTCAAAGAGATGCATGGCTGATCTCCAGTGCCTACAAAACTACTTCTAGTCAAAATCTGCTACTGGTCAAGCCCTGGTTTCAGTTCAGAGCTCTCAAAATGTGAAACAAAAAGGGATGAGTATTCCAGACATCAGTGCTCTGTTACTAGATTTTTTGCATTGGTGACCCACATCTTCTACACGAGCGCTGCAAGGCATGCACCCATGCCCCCGCTGCCAGCAGTTAGTGCAAATCCTGTAGCATGAACACAGGAGAACAGTCTATACATTGGTTTCTAGGCCAAGTAAGCGTCCCATCCGCTCCATGTTCTTGTCAATTGTGGCACGGCATGTGATTTCTTTAGCACACTCCATGGGAAACCAACCTCTTTCGCCATCCCGCAAGCGTTCCCCTTCATACCAACCTGGAAGAGGGAGCAGAGGCGGAATAACAACCCTTTTCTAACAATGTTAAAGATACTTTGCCAGAACAGTGTGTGTGGCACTGGAGCAGACACAGTCATCACATAAGTTATAAATTTCCCTTTCTAGTGAAGAAAGTACCAGATTAAAAGACAGGTTTGGTAGATTTTTTTTTTTTTTTTTACAGACTAGGAACAAAATAGTATGTAAAAATAAGTATTATATGAAAAAGTGTAATAATTTATTATACTGTAATTCAAATATATTGTTTGAAATAATATAAATAATTCAATGTAATTGCAATCTAAAGAAAGCAGTGCAGCCTATTGATAGGATCTTTGGTTTCAGATGTAATATTGAATAACATCATGAAGTTATGACTTAATACATCAAGTGCTGACAGCTTCAAGCATCAGTGAGTCAGCACATCATGAGATACTAGTAGACTCATTTGCATGTCCAGGCAAGAATCAATTTTGATCTCAAGGAACTTGATGCTACAGCAGACTTAGGCAGAAACGCTGTGCTAGACCCCTGCACATAACAGGCAGTGAGGCACAGTATGTGATGTGACTACTCCTCAGTATGTTTCTCTTGCTCACTAAAATGTCCGAGTTCCATGTTTTTAGGTAGGATTCAATGTCTTATTTGTGGACATTTCCCATATCAAAACCAAGCAGCACATACTTTCTGCAGCTGTTTACCTCTATAAATTACAACAGGCCATGCGTTACTTTGAAAGCCTGCACTGAAATGCTCCGGTTTTTCTTGGAAGCTAAACCTTGATTCATTACACATCCAGTGCTATTAGGAAACAAATTCTTATAGCTGGATTCACCTGCAGTGGTGACAGAGGGCAAAATTCTCACTCACCATCATTTACTTTTTGATAAACCAAAACAACATCAGCAACTTGAAGAGACAGTTCGTCTGACTGCTTGGCTGTGTAAGTTCTGATGATCTCTACCTGAGTCAAAGCTGTGGAAGAAATACGCCAGGCTGAATTAAACAATACACATAACAGTATCTTTAGTAAATATATATACAATTTATTTTAAAGATTTCCATCTTAGAGTATACCCTCCCCCCAAAAAAGAAACACCAAAGGAGACAGCAAATCATGCAAATGGCTGCCTACCTGAGCAATCTCACACAAACACACCTGGGATGAACACAGAAGGGAAGGGGCTTTGCACTTTTGCTAAGAGATGATTGAAATACCTGACCAAATCCGTGTTAATAAATGCAAACGGAAATGACTGTGTGAAAGGGAACTCCTCAAAGAAGCCCCTGGGCACAGGAAGAGATGGCAACTTAAGGTCTACTACAGCAACCGAGCCCAGGAAAGGAAACGGACATTTCTAAGGGTTCTTACAGTCTCCACTTGCTCACATCCCCACTAAGGGGCAGTGCCTTTCCATTCTCCTCTCAAAGCTCTCTGAAATCTTATCAGTTGTAACTTACTTGTCCTGTCGGTTTGCTGCCCGTCTCTGTCCTGTCCGAGTGCTGCAATCCAGCGCGCTCTGTCACTCCTGCAAATGGCAAAGACAAAACTCCATTTCCCAACTCATGTTCTTGAGAATGGTCAAGACTACTTCCCTTTTCAAGATTCTCTACTTAATTTTTTTCTCTTTTAGGTAAAGAAAACAAAACCTCCTCCTCCTCCTCTCAAAATACTCCCAGAACATGTAATAGTACTTCCAATAATATATTATGCAAAGATATTTATCTATTTTTAAGCATGTTGGATTAGGAAAAGAAAAGCCTGCATATGTGGGACCTACTGGCGTGATGTGTTGTATACCTTTATTTATTTTAATTATTTTTAAGTAATGCAGGTAAACTTCTCTGCTAGTGTCTATATCTAATACTTATTAGTAATTTATTTCTAAAAAAAAAATCCATGTAATGTACAAAGCATCTGATAAATGCAGTACAGCAATACACAATACCAACAGGCTTCCCATGAGTAAGAACCATCTGCAACATACACTTAGAATGAAAAGCAAGAATGGAAACAAACAAACAACTAAACTAAAGTTTCTCTGTGCGCTCAGAAGGACACCTTTGTATTTCCAGATGTGTCAGTCTGGGGAGTCTGAGAGCCAGCACAAATAAGCAGGGACCCAGTGATTTGAATCTCACCTTGTATAACCTAGGGAAAACGTAAATCAATCTCAGATGACACATGTCAGTATTCCTGAGGGGAGCAGAAAGAATTATCTAGATTCGAAGTGTTATACAGTGAATCACACAAGTGTAAATTACTGACAGTTGGTTTTGGAAGGGAGGGGAACAAGCTGAAGTGATGTCAGACAGTAAGGGAAAAAGCTAATCCTAAATCATCCCTGTTAAGGACTGCGCTGCAACAACTTAATCATTATAACTTTGAATTTTGGGAAATGAAAATTTGAACTTCATTCCAAAACAACCATTTCAGTGAAATTAGATTTTATCTTGTGTTTGTTGAAGGGCTTTGCCATCAGTACAGATTAGAGTAACACAAGGGAACTGCAGGGTTGAATTTTCCTATTCCTCCTCCCCTAAAAAAAAATATTGTTGCTATCTTTAGATAACCTCAGTTTTTAACTAAAAACTATAATGAAAAAAATCTGCCTCTGCTAAGACCTGATTCTGTCAAAAATATGAAACATCTGAAAACAAAATAAGGTTTGGAAATAGCACTGTGGCATCTTCAGAAGTGTCAGAAAATGGGACATTTACACAAGTCACGAGAGACTCCTCTAACGTACATCTTCCAGGATGCACCATCGCTCAGCAACTGAGGAGGCGATTCAGCAAGGGGTTGTAGTTAGTCTGGGAAGCCCAGCCTGCAGAGCAGAGGGAGGGCAGGAATTACTTGAACATCCCACTAGGCTTCATTCCACGGTACTGTTCATCAGCCTCTTCAAGAATACCAACACCACCTCATGGCCCTTCTTCCGCTAGCTCTAGAAATCTCTTCTGCTCACAGACTGCCAACACTTCCTTTGGATGAAGGGATTCAGAAGTCTTTCTGAACATGCTTCTTTCAGAATGAAAAACCCACTGATTATTTTGAATATAAATACTTGTACTGTTTTTTTGCCATTTAATAAGAAACTCTGATTCTTTATTTTTTTCAATCCCGACACACTCTCTTCCTCAAAGATGAAACTACCACACATATCCTACTAACATTTGATACCTGTTGATCTCGTACAGACAGCAAAGATCACAACACATGCTACTTTAGACATTTCACTCATTAAAAGAAGGTGATACTAAACATGTTGCGTTTCAAACAAAATAAGAACATCTGTATACCATTCTGCATTAGCTTCACTTTGTGGCCTCATTTTTTTTTAGAAACAGGTGCTGTTCACACTCACATTTTCCTTTCCCTGTAACCATTCTTAACAGGAAAACATTTCCTTTCACATGACTCTGAGAAAAATGGGATAATGCCAGACTGTCTCCCAGTTTAATTATATATTGGTTCAGACTCTGTGCATACCATCTATTTTGTGCCGTATTCACAGGACAATATCGCGTTCCTGACCTAACGCTGGTACTTTTGTGCTTGGGAACCACACACCACATGAAGTGACAAAACATGATCAAACTGCTAGAAATCTTTGCATCAGCAAAAAAGTTTTATATGTGCAAAACTCTATTCAGTAAGCACTCTGAACCAGCCAGCTTGGCCCCCCTACTGTAGATTCCCTTCCCATCCTGCTCAAAGTTAAGTTCTTCCGTACCTTTTGCATACATTATAATACTCTAGCAAAATAGGTAATTTTCAAATAAAGTACTTGTTTTCAGAATCTTTTCCTCTGAATGACAATCTGCTGGACTATTTATATAACAAACAGTATACAGCAAATCAATAACAAATCTGCAGAACAAAACATCTCTTCATAAAAAGCCCAGACAACTAAAAATGTACTGCATTTTTTCCCAATAAAATGCATTTCCAAACAAGTCTGAATCATCTGCTTAGTTTATAATGAGATCTTTAATAGAAACCATTAATGAGCTATAGTTTCTTTCAGGGTTATTCTAAACTTTGAAAGCAAACCTAGAACTGTAAATTTTTCCAGGCTGGGATACGTCTGGAGCACTCTGTTTCATGCTTCTGTCCCGCCTCCAGCTTCCACCAAAACAGATAAAATCTTTCACTTTTGTGAAGGGTTGTGTGGAAATTAATGGCACCACAGAGAAACGATGGCCTCTCGGATATTTGCATCCGAAAGAACAAGATACTTCTTGTTGCTCCGTTTCTAAAGCAGAACACTCCAAAGCTGCCTCAAGAGAACAAGGACCACCTCTATCCCAGCAGAGCTCCCCAGCTTCCCTGAGGCAATGCTGGATTCCTCCTCCCTTAACCCAGTGCTGCTTCCACTCCTGCACCCCTTCTAAGAAACCATTCCCAAATCACTGCTGCGGGACAAAGCACCTGGCGTTCATACCCCGACAGCGTTTGCCTGCTCCCACCATGGTGCCTGAGGGTGCACTGTGCACTGTTTCCTCCTGCGAGCACTGTGCTCTGCACACAGACAACGAGGGAAAAGAACCGGCTGTTGGGGTAAGGTACTGTAACACACTAAAGAAGAAAATGGGAGAACAATACCAGAGACAGGGCAAGCTTAAATGAATCTCTGCAGTGACATTATTCAGTCTTATCAAGACAAATACCAAGAAAGCCTCCCTTAGCTACAACAGTAAAAGCACCTTTTTCCGCACAGTAACCTGCCTTACGCTTAGAGTCGCGTGCACAGCAGCATGGTGTGCCACAAGCCGAGATGGGAACGTTGTCAGAGAGCCTGAAACTGACTCTGCTCTCCTGCCTGCTTTCACTAGACCCTGTGTTAGACAGTTCACCATCTGCAGTGCTGCAGCAACGAGCTCTGCTCCCCGAGGGCTGTCCCAGGCTGTATGTTGAAGCAGGCTGTACACTGCACACAGGTAACAGTGAGTTTGCTGCTCTGGTTTACTTTAGGCATTTACCCTCTGGACACAATGACTGTTAGATACAAGCTCTAGGTTAACAGGTGAGCAGGCAGGAAACCTGTGTCTTGACTTCCAGTTCTCAGAGGGTCTGTCAGAGACGTACTTAAACACGTACATACTCGTGCTAGAGCAAAACCCAGTGGGGACTCAGATACTTAAGTGACATTTTGCAGTTCAAATGAACCAGTAAGAAACTGTTTGCCTCACCAGTAACAACTAGAAGGGATTCAGCAATCCCTGGCAGGGAGCTGGCAGTCTCCATGGCAGAAGCAGAGTTAATTCTTGGCCTGAAGATCCAAAACAGTAGCAGGTAATAATGGATACTTCAGTTTACAGAATTTCAGCACATGCGTTCAGTTCTCCATTATTCTTACACCGTGACCTCAAGGAAAGACTGACAGTAACATACCAAGTGCTTTGAGCCACTGATTCCTGATTACAAGATTACATTACAGAAACCGAACAAGGTTTGCAGAGACACTGTTTTATTCTGATAATTTTTATTCCCATATCTAGGGGGACTTACATAAGCTGCACATTCTCCTGCTCTGCCACTCCTGAAAAATCAGAAAGGCTTGTCAAGGCTCCCTTGCCTCGCTTTGAGAGCATCCACTTATAACACAAACAGTGCAGATCACAGCAGCTCACGGTGTCACCGAACAGGCACCAGCACGGCCCATGACAAACAGAGGAGCATTTCTGCAGTGGCACTCCTTCGGTCACTGCTGATCAGACACCACGCGGAGTGCCTGCCGCGGAGCGCTGCTGGGTTCTGGTTTGCTGCATTTTGATTTACGCTTCCCAAACGGAGAAGAGCCGGGCATTGCTCCCTACCTGGATGGGTCGTGTGGGGGGAGGCAGCCTGGTGAGATGATGAGGTGAACAATTACAGAAACTGGAACTATTTACTTACTGAGTCTCTGTTCCCAGGAGCATCTCCACCTTCTCTCCTGCGTGGTTACTGAGGACCGACAGCCGGAAGAGGTGAGCTGCAGAACTCTGCCGTGAGTAGAGCATAGTTGAAGCATTCTTGACAGGAGAAGAGGTCAGGTCCTCACTGTCACACTGTTGTACCACCAGCTGGTCCCTTAAAGAATAATCTGTGACATTGTAACTCTCATCACTGCAAAACAAAGGAGGGAAGAAAAAAAAAACCCTTAAGTTTAATGTTTATTTCCCTTAATGGATTATTTCCATTAATTTCCATTATTTGACAATAATTTCCAATCCAATGTAATCCAATCCAGTAATTTTCCCCTGCTCATAGGGGAGGATTTGACAAACACAGCGAACAGATCAAATTTTAAGGTGCAACTATACATACTCCACCTTAAAGTAAAATCTATTTAGACCTCAGTCTCGAGATGAAAAGCTATGCTAGAGCCTCCTATTGCTATTGTTCATTAAAATAATTTAAATTGAAAAAATACTTGAGAAGATTAATTTTGCTGCCAGAGATCTACAGAAACCTGAGCACTGAACTGACACAAATCAAATCCCAAACACCTGGAGCTGAAGCAGCCTGAAGTGCTGTGGGTGATGTACCCCTTTCTGGCAGGTGCAAATGAAGCGTGTTCTTCCCTTCTGGGTGCTCGGCTAGTACAAGACAGCGGACAGATGGTGATTTACGTCTCTTGGGATATGTTCACTCATTTTGTGAGCTGTCAGAAAAATACCTGCAAATACCTCAGTAGTTAATATAATCGTCTTCATAATTCTTATTTTGAATCCTTCAGAAAAATAATTGCTACAACTGAGCAACATTATGACTCAAAACATAAGTTATTGCTCATTTCTGTGACTCAGGCAGCATTAGAAGAGTTTCTCTATTCAAGTGACAGCAGGTTCACAGATCATACTGTATTTGTGGATTTTTGTGGATTAACAGTTTCTGCCAGTGCATATAGTGTGAAAACAAAGTTCTTCAGCTATGTGGGGTACATTTTTACTTTATTCTGTTAATTCAATACTTGATTTTTTTTTTTTCAGTACAGCTTTGTACATTCTCAAAGAATCAACACAGTTACATTAGTATAATGTTCTAATCCTTCTCACAAGTATTATTTTTTCTCATCTTTTGTTGAGGAGTTTGGGGCTTTACAAAGGAAGCAGAAGCAACGACAGACAAGCCTGGTTAGACTTTGCTTCCCTGTTTCTTTTTCTCCAAGTCTCAAAATGGTACCAACAAGTCCCCACAAACACTCTGAGGGCTGGAATCCCAGCTCCCCATTCAGGTACCACTGACAAAGGCACAACACAACCTAAACTTCTAAGAGCACTGTTGCAAGAACTGAAAATGGCTTTAACAACTCTCCCCCTGGTTCTGATTGACCTAGCTTTGATCAGACCATTGTTTCCATGTTCTTTAGAGCAAAAAAATTAAAAAATAAAACACAGAGAAAATGAGATGGACACAGCAAACTCTTCTAGAGCTCTAGAAACGAAGGCAGGTTAATTAAGCTAATACACATGGCTTCTTGAGTCCCAAAGTAGAAAGAATTCAGGTTACAAATAGGTTTTAATCTAACTAGAGGAGTTTAACATGAGCACACTGAGAAGCTGGGAGAATCGTCAGTATTTTAGCATGTGGAAAGCTACGTTTTACACTTCTGCACACACAACCCAGGGATGCGAAAAGGAATCTTAATTCAAGTGTATCCTGCATGTCCTTATCTTTTGGGAAAGGTGTGCACACAGCTCTTCCCTGAAACAGAACAAATCTAAAGTTACTGTGATTGTCCTGCTGTAGAAAAGCGTGAGTGTTGTGAGAGGGGAGGGCAGAGAGGCTGTCGCTTTAGGGCTCACATGCCCCTAAATCCAGCTCTAGATTCAAATTAATTCATTTATCTACAAAAAGATGCTACTCAGCACTTGAGGACAGGTGTTTCAAGTGCCATCCATAGTAGCTGAGGGTTCCTACTGAAGAAGAAAAACAATTTTATATCTAATATTTATCAGTCTTTCCCTCTTTCTTTTTTCTTAAAATATATACTCTGAATCAGGGAAAGGGTTGGCTGGTTGGTTGGTGTCGGGGTTTTTGGTGGCTTTGGTTTTGTTTTGTTCTGTTGGGTATTGGGTTGGTTTTAGAGGTTGGGGGGGTGAGTGTGGTTTTTTATAACGAAGTTCAGTATTTTAGTCTAGCCAAAGCTGCTTAGCCAAGGGCAGAGCTAGCAAAACCAGCTAGGGATGCTGCTATCGTTATGTGGGAATCTTGCATCTGAAAAGGAAATGTAGCCCATACGTTTGTGTCACAATAAACGCATTCTTTACTAATTAATCAATAGAGATAAAACCTCGACAAATCCTTCCTATTTCTTACCTCCACTCAACAAAATAGTCTGATTTGAAACTACCATGCAATCCTCATCTTTGTACCTCCTGTGCCCTCTGCGAGGCCCACAAACTCCTCCTTCCAAATGGATAATGAAAGATGCCGATAAAACCGACGGTGCTGCAGGGAGCAGATCACATAAATGGAAACGTAATCTGCTCAGCCAGGCAGCGGAGCAACGGGAGGGACATGTAACACGTTCTTTACAATTGTTGTAATCAGGTAACACAAACATGCCAACATTCATTTTCAGTTGAAGACTGAACTTTTTTGCTAAACTTATAGATTCAGAACACAAAACAACACAAAACAACAGGACTGTTTTATATCCCTTCACAGGGAGTGCAAGTTTTAGAGACACCTTTAAGAAGACCAAGTCTCTATTGATGTAACACCACCTGGACCTCAACAGAAAGCACACGGTCAGTCTCCCCGTTTCCTTTCCTCTTTCAATTGTGCTATACATCCTTTATGCATCTCCTCAGCTATGTTTCCTCACAGCTAAAGATGTGCCACTCCAAAATCCATGGTGTTCTGCAGAAGTTACAGCACACTTGTCCTTGCCTTCAGCCCAAAATCCCCCCGGCACCTTGGGAACAGCCCTGGGTTTGCGAGCAGCTGGGGACAGGTCACGTTCCCAAGTAGCTCTGGACCTTTGGCGACTCCCAGGGTATGAAGCCCCGCTGCATTCCACTGTCAGGGTGTCTCAGGAGCTGACAAACCGTAAGCCATTAGGACAGACAGGATTCTAGTGGTGTCCTTAGGTGATTATGGAAAACAGAACACTCAGTAAGTGTGCACTCATTCAAAAATATAAGCATCTGCAGTTCACCTGAAATCTTAAAGCCCTTAGGATGTAATGGGGAGATTTTCTGAACAGCTGGATAAGGCAGCTATGTAGTTGTACGTAATAAGACTTTATTAATTCTGGAGTTGCCCTGAACTCTGCAGAAGAGAGAGCTAGCCCACAGGCAGCTCTGAGCATTAACACCTGAAACATGGAACCAGATTTTCATGGGCCCGGGAGGGCATGGGGAAGAGAGGGAGACATTTGACTTGTGGTACTGTTCAAAGCTGGCTGTATCCTGCTAGTTTGAGCACAGCATTGTTACAGCGTGAGCTTCCAAGCTTGCAAAAAAATACCAGAGAAGCCACCTCCTGTGTAGCCCGGTCCTCTCCTCCCCTCAGGCAGCAGAGAAGTGTCCACTGTAGAGACTCCACCACGCCTAGCACCGGACAAGTATCTGTCCAAACCCTTGGACGATACTTACACCCATATGTGGGGTTTAGAAAAGGGAGAAAACTGAAACTCGTTATGAAGGAAATACATACAAACTCTGAAATACTCCATTTAACCTACTTAAAGGACAAGAGAAGACAGTTAAACATTGCAGTTTTGTTCAGGAGGTGAAACCGTAGCTGAGGAAGATTATGATGAATAAAGTACCATTAAAATTAAAACATAAGAACTCTGGAGTACGCCTGAGTCTGCACCAACACAAGACCTCTCTTTATCTTTTTTACAGCTAAAACGGACCGTTCTCGTTATGAGAAGGTTTCTGGAACACTTGCTCTCTCAGTATTTAAAATGCAGTTTTTCCAACAAAGATTCTGACATTTGGCAAGTGTCCTCAAGATGAGGATGTGAGCAGGGATGTGTGCCGGAGCCGGCTGGGCCAGAATTAGTCACCAGTCACCAACGTGATGCTGTGACAGGTACCATCCAGCCTGGCCTTTATGCAGCCGGGACCGGGCCATTCCCGGCTGCGTGCGTGAGGTTCTGCATATATGGGAAACTGCGCAGACGGGATAGCTGCAGAGGAACTTTCGAGCACAGATTAAATAGCATGATTGGAGCACTAAGTAATCAGTATTTTTAGCACGGTAGCGAGGAGTGATCCTTTTGTGCAGTTCTAGGAATCTTCTGAAATGTAACTGCTCAAATAAAAATATAAACATTCAAACTCAACTAGCAACAGCTATTTCTGTCCACCACTGTGGTGCCCATGGTGACAGCACGGGTGGGAGAACAGATCACCAAAAGCTCAGATATTATTAATAAGCTTAACCACTTGGGCAGAGTGCTTTCACACTCAGAGTGTCTGGGGGCTCGCAGACATCAGTCCTTTTCAACGGTACCCAGTTGTTCAGGGGGTGTTGGTCGAGCGAGTCTGTGAATCTGATCACTAACACGAAACCTTCCTTCATTTTGGTGTCTGGGCACATTTAGGACTTTCAGTTCCAACAGCTGGAAGCTGTTATAAATCAAAAGCCCCAAAGTTTGGATAAGATACGTTGTTAAAAAAATCTGTTTTATAGTCCAGACAACAAGCCATCGCATAGGAAACCAATAAACAGTGTAACAACACAGATAATAGATTTCTCACTGTTTTCCCAACTCAAACATTTACTTAGCTACCAACACAATATGTTAACAGTAGTCCCATAAGAAACGCACTGCGTAAAAAAGTGCGCTACAGCTCTGTGATGTGCTGCCAGGGAGCCAGGGATTAACAGAGGACTTTCACAGAAACATTTCAGCGTAAGCTTTGATAAACACTGAATCTCACAAACATGTTCACACCAGGAAGACAGCTGCGGAGAAACCACTTCACTTTTCTTCCTCTCTTTATAAAAAAAACCCCACGAAGATAAAAAAAAAACTTTCATGTAAATATTTTTCCCCCTCCATTTTCACTGAGCTTTCTCCTTGTTTAAATATAAGTGTTTTCTTCCAAGATATTATATCATACCTCGTTTCTCAAAATCTATTTAAACTATGCATTTGAAATTTCACAGAAGGGTGTCTTTTAAAACTAGCTGGTATTTGGCTGAACTGGGCAACCCACATGCAAAATAATTGTTCTTCAAAACAGTTTTTAGCCTCAGGAATGAGGTATTATCTAATAGCAACAGCAGAGGATGTAAAATCCATTCCATTCCATTCCATTCCATTTAATTATTCTAAACTTCCCCTCAAATCTAGCGATGAAAATGTAAATGCAGACTGCCAGAAAGGGTCTCACAGAAATCATCCTCACAAACAGCTCAACTGTGGAAACCACGGAGGGGAATGAAAATCACTTCTTTATCCTTCCAAAACTTCTCCCTTTGCTAGGACATCAAGGATGAACTTTTTAATTTGTTTGACAATTCAGAATTTCAGTTTTGTTTGACAAAAATAAATCCTGTTGAACAAAAATCCTGTTTACTTGTCATTTCTAAATGTGGTCTGATAGATCACTTCATTAATTCATTTACTCTCTCAGACACAGCATATTAAAACATATAAATGGCTTCACAAATGTTTACTGGACTTAAAACACGTTTAGTCCATGTTTCCTCTGTTTTTTTGCTGCAGATGTACCAGGTTCACTTACTTCTTTATGAATCTCCTTCATCCTTTTCAAGCAAGTGGCTAGAAAATATGTCAAACTGCTGTGGATGCGATTGCTGTTCCAAAGCCAGCAAGTTTTGGTTTTCATTTCCCCTAAGGTGAGGCACAGACACCCACAAGAACTCGGCTGTTCCCTCTGCGATGCAGGGGATTGAACACAAAGACAATTTTATATCGGTGGACCTCTTACCTCTTCTTCTTGGTGATAATGAGGACATCATTAAAGAGGAAGAAGTACACCTGCTGTTTAGAAGTTCTTTTCGAAAAAAGCCCAGTGTCTTCCACATACGCTGTTAATTCGCCCCTTTTCACTAACCACCGTGAGGAGGAAACCAACGGAAAGGGCTACAAAGCAAGAAAACAACATTTTAATCCTTCCAAATTAGAGATTTTTAAAACCAGATAACAGAGTATTGTGTATTTGGGGAAAAACGCTTGAATAAACTCAAAGGTCAGAGATCACGAGTACCAGCAGGGAACAGAGGTTACCGAGGTTTAAGGTATTTTCATCATTCATACCACACACAAGTGGCGGCCTGCAAAGGCTGAAAATCACTCCTGCACGAGCCAACTGCTCGCCCAAGAGAGGAATGAACAGACCTGGCTGGTCGTACTTGGGATGGACAGACTGTGTGAGATCCCCTAAGGAGATTAAAGACTGGCTTCCAGGAATATGCAAGTTTTTGCAGAGTAAGCACTCGTTCTTTAAGCATGTACGAGCACCGGACTGTCCTCTAGGTACCTCACAGCTTTTCTACCTAAACCGTCGGGAACACGAGCTTCAGCTTCTCATCCCCGACACGAGGGCTACTGCACACTGCGCTGATCATGGCCCTACAGCTACTTAGAATGATGCTGGGCCTTCTTCTGCTGGGGTGTTCTGTGCCACACACACAATAAAAACAAAGGCAAAACTCTTTAAAAGAGAAACACACCGTACAATCCACTTTGAAGTATTCTGAGAGTATATTAAAACAGCCAAACAGATTATGGAGACAGCATACAAGGTTAGACTGGTCCTGACACAGTACTGAACGCTATTACTGAGATGTTCAGAGCACAGAGATGTTTTTTCCCATCCCTCTGTACATGAGGAATGCCAGAATGCTTACCAATCCGATGTGCTAACATCCCCTTTTCTACTCCGTAAGTAAACTGAAGTTCCAACACAGCTCTGCCAAAGAATGTGTAAAGCAGTACGTGATATGTCGGGTTGGAATTTGCTGCCCACTTCAATGCCAACACAATCCCATTTGTGACATTAGAAATTCACCAGTGGTTTGAAAGACACATCTGTAAGTTTTTGGAGGACATCTCTGCAGGTATCCACTTACAAAAGGCCTTATTAATAAATAACTGTCCTTCCTCAAGGGGAACTTGAGCTTTCATTTTGCCCTTCTTCCATGTTGTCACAAAATGGGGACGGTTACATCTGACCTTGGTTGCTCTGTAATCCGCTGCTGCAGCTGAAGGGACAGGCAGGTCCGGGCACGCGGCTGTACCAGGCGTGGACTAGAGCTCCTCGGAGCACCCTCCCGGACCAGAGGTTCCCGGAAAGGTCACTCAGGTTTGCATTAACCTTCACCCCTCCATTTAGGGGGTGTTCTCCCAAGGTCATTACCAAACCACACCACCTGGGGTTTTCCCTTGAAAGCAGGAAGGGAAGTTTTCCAAGTACTGCTGTTCTCACCAGGAGCTCTTAAAATATCTGTTTTCTGTCCGCTGTCACAGCTTCATCCCAGATGGGTAATTACAGATCCTGTAGTTCCTCTCACTCTTTATCTGGTTGATGGTCTGTGGAGCAGGATCTCCATTTCTCTCTGGGGTGGGGACCAACACCTGCCACAGCTGAAGCACGCCACAGAGGATCAGAGCCGCCTAATGAAGACCAAGCTTTCTTAATCCCATTTGTTCCCAACTGCAGGACAAACAGACACCATAGAAGGACCTTTTGTTTTGCTGGGCCACGAACATGAAGACAGACGCGAGACTGCACGTCCTGGTCATACCGAGAACAGATCATCTCTGAAGCTGTACCACGACCCACGGTGGCAGAAGGACAAAGGTCCATTGCAGTGCCGGCAGCTGCCCCACTGCCCAGAATTCCTCAGTCAATGACCCCGCTGACTGCTGCCAGCACTGAGCCGAGCCGAGCTGCTCTGGGGGAATGTTTCTTCAGTGCCAGAGAGGGACGGGCTCTTCCTGCTGGACCGTGCTGTCACCAGGCGACATTCTCAGCAAAGACACCGACTCCTCCGTGGGTTTCACCCCCCACCGCTGGAATGCCGTTTGGGTCCTACCTCGGATACTGAAGACGCTGGTCCTTCACCTCTGTGCACCTCGGGGTGCTGCCCGCACGCTGGACGGAGCACCTGGAGGTGTCTGGTGCCTCCCCCCCGCTGGCACCAAGCAGGATGAGGCTCCGTGGGTGACTGCCGCAAACGAAGCCCGAGCGGCGCAGCCTGAACCCTGCAGGTTCTCCGGCAGCAGGTACATGGAGCCAGTGGGCAACAAGAGGCCTCCCCTTTGCCCACACTTACCAACATCTGTACCTGAGTAAATGGGTGCTTACTGCTAAATTTTATGGAGCATGCATATTTTTCTTCATGCCAAGCAAAATAATAAAATTTTTGTTTCTACTTTAAGCATAACTGACTTTCTGCTTATCAAACGTCTCTACTTTTGTTGCTGCTGTTCAAATTCATTATTGGGTCTTGCATGATCAGACTAACGAAGATGACTCCTTTTTCCCCCTCATTTAAAGCACCTTTCACATGCTTGTAAAAAAAAAAATACTTCTTCACTGAGTTTGTCAGCTGTCTTCTTCATTCTGCATGGTTTGTCTTCTCAGATCTTTTCAAATCACTTCAGCTGCCCTTTACTGAGCTAACGTGTCGATACTCGCCCCGCAGTACACTGCGCCAGAACCAAAACACCGTGCCTCGCCTCTGATCTCGCTGTTGGAGGAACAGGACATTAACTCCCTAATTTTACCTGCAGCCACCCCCTTGGTTTGAATTTTGAGGGACAATTTTTCAGTGACTCAGAAACAGCACACAACAAAACAGTTTTTCAAAAGATGCTTTTTCCTGCCACCACGCAGCACAGAGCCCCTCCTCAGGCTGTCCCGCAGGGGTACGCACTCGGGGCAGGTGAAGTTGCTCAGAACTGCAGCGTGTAGCAGCCCTCTGGAACTACTGGGAAGTGTTATAAATTAAAGAAGCCTTAAACCCTTTAACTTGCCCCGACTGATCTATGTCCCAGCATACCCAGAACGGGCAGTAACGAGTGTCCGTCCTCACCCGGTACCCAGCCACGCGCTGAACAGAACCTGTGCTGTACTGACACACCATTAAACCTCGCAGGTGATCAAAGGCCAGTTCTGCTCAGATGTGACCCTCCCGGAGGAACAGCCAAGCACCAGCACTCAAATCAAGGAAAGTGTTATATCAAAATTTTTTAAAATTTGGCTTACTTTCTGTCAAAACACTGCTACTTCTGTACCTTCAAGTGACATGAAAATCAGTTTTTTAAACAAATGGCTTTTACATTTCCTGAAATGCAGCAACGGCTCCGTGTGACAGGACAGGAACGGGAAACACGGGACCGCACCCCCACAGCTGCAGCACCGCGCTTTTAGTGACTACAGAGTGCAAAGACTTCGGGCTGGATGGCCCCTAACAAAGAAATCACAAATGGGTTTGTTTCATGAACACAAAAGTGTTGGGGGGGGGGAAGAAAGAAAAAGCCAAACCCACACCTTCCTGGTGCTGAAGATGAAGAACTTAAGAATAAAAACTGCTGAATTATAATTAAAAATTAAATTCTAAAGATTAGCCAGATACAAAATGACACAATATCTGAGTAGCCTGCCCTGTGCTCCCATAGCTAGCTGCTCTCCAGTTACATCTAACAAAATAATCAACAAAAATCCCCAAACACTCCGTGAGGCTGAGCAAGAACAGAAATAGTTTACCTGATTTATAATGGTTATAAAACAGAATTATAACACCATGATGACTTTTTTTTTTTTTTTTTACAGACAAAAAGTACTTTAAAAATTTCTATTTGAGGACAAACTAAAAACTCCTCTAATCTGTGTTCCCAGGGAGTTCATCACATTTTCCTAATAAACTATATTCCAGAGGCAGCTTTTTAATATTAATTTTTCCTTAATTGCCAGAAGAGTACATCATGTAAATCATCTCCTTTCTATATAGAACAAGCCGTCAGAACCTAGAATGTATTGAAGCTCGGCCAAAGCAGCCTGTTGTACGCCAGCTGGCCAGCTCTCAAACCACAGATAAGGTCTGAACCACTAAGTGGTTATATTTAAGATGCACAAAAGAAAAAAATTCCATAAAAATACAGAAAAACAAAATAAAGTTGCTGTTGCTCCGATGAAACCAGCGAGAGCTGCTGTTACAGCACATGCAGGCGCTCTCGCACTCGTGCATCCTCTCCCCATGGAAAGGAAGTGACTAGAATCCCCGTAAGCACCTCCACACTGTCAGGTTCTTCTGTAGATTGGAAAACTATGAATGAAGCTGCCAAGCAGCCCACCCAAGGGCCTCAGCCTATCCCAACTCTATTTTAGGCTCTCCAAAGGCTGGAGACAATTATCCACCATTGTTAGCTAGGGCGGTGATGTCACTCGTTAACAGTGTTTCATTTACTGCTGTTGTTATAAGTAAATATTATTATTCCTTTCAGTTTTTAGTCAAAGTTTGAAAATAAAAATACTTCAGACAAGTTTAAAAACATCTTTTTGGAGACCACATTTTCTCAAAGACCAACCAAGATCTGCTACAGAACTGCGTGTGCGCAGACATGAACCTCTGCTTGCTACAGGTACGGTAATAAAGGAGACATTTGTAGAAATGGTATTTTAACAAACATTGAATAGAAAAAAGTAAATGTACAAGGATATACCCAATTCTTCAGTAATTAATGCTAATTTATTCTTTTAAAAAGATCTATCCTGATATTCTTTCCCGGCAAAGCTCAGCCTGAAGCATAACCTGCTTGGTCAGACACAGCAGTCCCCAGTCACCCGCCACGTTCCCAGGGCTTCAGCTATCCCAGAATATGCACTTGTCTCCCTTGACTGGAAAGTCCCGTCAGTTTGAGAGCCTGCGCTACATTACTGTGCTCATGCTGGCAGCAAACCTACCGAGACACGGCCCCAGAAACATCATCATCATCTCACCTTGATTTTAAACTCCAGCTGGGAGTTAATGGTGTACATCATTTCTGTCCTCTCCATCGTCCGGGCGCCTTCATTGCACAAACGCACCAACTAGGAACGAGACATTTATTGAACAGGTTTAATGTCCTCAAGACTTACAACAAACTCTTCTGACTTTATCAAATGCGCTTCTGAGGAAGCTTACAGCTTACAAAGGAAGCGACACTTTCACACAGGGTCACAGCCAGCGTGTTTTCAAACCCGAGCGACCCGCTCTGCCTTGAGGCAGGAGGGAGCGACCTCCCGAGATCCCGCTCTGCCTGGATTGTCCTGGCACACTGTGGTCATTACTCAGGCTTCAGGGGAGCCCGGGTTCAGCCCGAAGCTCTGACTGGAAGGGCTGCAGCTCTCTGATCCAAGCCACAACACTGTCCTGACAGTAGAGAACAGCAAGTCTGAATCCTACAGAGAACCTCAACTGTGCTGACAACAGTAGAGCGTTACCAAGTTCAGGATATTTTCCTAAATAATAAACAGACAGACAGTCATTTGGGCATAAAAACAATCCCTGGTGGCCTTTCTTAAAACAATTCAGAGTTTTTTATATTTCGGAACTCTTCACATTTGCATTATTTATGCATGGAAAACATTTTTTCCCTTAGAGTAGAATGTTCAAGGCCCAAGGTAATGTCTAGCACCCAACATGCAGGGAAGGATTTTTTTTTTTAATAAAGAATGCCCAGTGCTTCACATTTCACAACACTCTGGGTTGCACTATAGTTTCTGAAATCCTGAGACCTTAGAGGCAAAAAACAGCCAGTCCTCAGATCCTTAGATTTTCTTTTCAAACCCCAATGTTCTGTTTTAAAGCCATCTATTTCTAGAATATAAACATATTAAACAGATGGACCGGAATTTCCCACCAATTTAAAAAAAAAAAAATTGGTAATCTGATTGCTCAGGTTCACAAAGGGACGGGAATTTATTACACAAGTAAGGGCTGTTGAGATTTGCAATCTGTGCGTGGAAATGGACTTGTGCTCGTCTTCCACCATGGATCCTTGGCAAGCAGGAGGAGAGGGCAGCTCTAGCAACTGACAGAAGGGGATCTTACAGTTAACTTGCAGTGAGAGCACAAAGAATGCCCAAGTTTGTTTAGAAGATTCAGCCTTTCTTTTCCCTACTGTCAGGACAGTGTTTTGGCTTTTTTCCTACGCAGGGTCCCCCACACGGCTGTCGGAACGACTGGCAGCAAACAGTCAGTTTGTCCAACTACACAATGAAACACGTGAACAAAATGAGGAATAAACATGGAAATTCAACCTCAGGTGACTAACAGAAAACAAAAGCAGACACTTCTCACAGTGGATTTTGAAATTAAGAGCATGCAGTGCAGTGTAGGAAGGGAAACAGTCAAAGCAGAAAAAATTCTGCATCCCCATGAAACTCTAGGAACACACCTTGCTCACTTCTTTCAGAGCTTGCTTGCAGTTCTCGTATTTTGGTGAATCTTTCGGAGTTTTCTGACAAATAGTCTGAAATAAAATGTCAGTTACTTCAGAGGACTTAGCAGCCCAGCTACAGAACACAGACACAGAATTTCACGTACACGGTAACTGCAGTCCCGAGGCAGGGTCACAGCGGTGGGCAGGATACACGGGAGCACACTGGGTCACT